TAAGACAGCAATTGCAAGATTAATCTAACTTGTGGCATTGAAATTTTATTAACAGAGTGCTCTTTCAACCAACTTTGGTTAAAATATTTCAAACAACAATAGAATTTCAATATTTTAGTTAAATGTTGTATATTGAAAGTATTTTTTTTACATAAAGCTTCACTCAATTTGAAATTTTAATTCTTATCATCTTTTTTTAGGGAATCTTTTGTAAGAATTTTCTTTTTGATAAACAAGAAAATTATAAGGCCAGTAATTTGACAGCACTCATATATTAAATATTTAATCAAAAATTTATTTTAATATTTGATCAGAAAAAAGCTTTTCCAGGACTATCATATGGATTTAAAGTAAAAGAATTATACGTATTCATAATGATATCGATGCTGTAAATACTGTAGACTATTTTTTTAAATTAAATTTTACTGTTGCTTGTAACTTATATATGGCAACATGCTAAATAAAGTGTTAACTTGCCATAAATTTGACTTCCAATTCTATCAGTTGAATTCACATAATCCATTTAACAGAATTACAATTAGTTAAAAAAAGAGATATTGTCTTGAATTTTTATTTAATTACTAGTAAACTCGAAATTATAATTTCCTGTTAAAAATAGATCCCTGAAGAGAAACAATTACAATTTTACAGAAAACATTAATATAAATCAAGAAAACATTGACGAACTTGTAAAAATATTTAATGAAGCTTTTTATAAAAGTAAAATCAAACCTTATCTGCAAGAGCATGAAGCTTACCAAAAACAATCATTAACTAGTGCATTACAAGATACTAATACAAGTTCAGAAAATTTAACAAGTCTAACAAAAATTTTACAAACTTCATTGCTAAACTCAAGGAGAAATATGGCAAATGGATTTAATGAATTTATTTTGTTAAGGGCATGTCAGGATAAAATTATATTTAATAAAATTTGGAAAGATATGATTAGTAAAGGGGGCTTTAAGTTTGTCTGAGATTCTTCTGAAGAATACTTTCTATTCTTTAAAAATTTCCAAAGCAAAGTGTTTAAATGCTTGGTAAAAGTTTATTTGAGTATAAAGAAATGATATCATTTTTTACTAACCGAGAGCATTATTTCTTGGATCTATTTGCCTTTTCTAGTGTTAATTTTGAGTCTTCAAACAACATTATTAATTCGTTTAATGATTGGTTAGTATTTGCAAAAGAAAATAATATTCTTAAAACCTTTGAATTATGTAGAAAAACCCAAGTTATCTTGGTTCTCTGCAAAAGTATTTTGAATACTGCACTAGAGTTAGAAGATTATAAATATAAACAAGATTAAATTACGATATTAATTCATTTGCTAAGCGTCAATACAAATTTTTTCAATTGCCAGTGTATAAAAGAAATTTATTAATTTTTGTTTATGTATAAGTTAAGTTATGACTATGCCAGATTAGTATTTTTTTTTATTAACTTTAAAAAAATTGATTTTTCTGACTTGAAAATTCCTAAAATAATCATTTTTAATGTAAATTTTTTTAAAAAAAGAACTTTATTCAATTCAATTATATTATTCTTGCTAAAAATTTTTAGGTTGCATTTTCCAGACCAGAAATTATATAAAACTTAGTATCTTTTAAATGATATCCAATTCAGCAATCCATTCCTTCCTTAAAAAAAAAGAAAAAAAATTAGTTAGTAATAGTTCAAATCTCATTAAAAAAAAAAATAATGCATTCATTAAAAAAGAAAAATCAAGGCACGCGAGTTAGGAGAAAAGTGATGTCAAAAGTTATGTTTTTAATATTACATATTTATTAAAATCAAAAAGAGTAACTTCAAATCTTTTGTCACGTGCGACAAAAAGTTTGAAGTTACTTTTGATTTTAATAAATATATAACATCAAAAATATAACTTTTGCACAGTGCATAGAAAGATAATCAATATCGATATCAAAAGTTGATGTTAACAACAACAAATAGTAACATAGTAATTGAAGATTCAAATATTAGAGAGCATTGTTTTTACAAAGTGCATCTGCTAATTCTTTTTCTCCATCTGATCCAAGTTTATTATTTTTAAGATCCAAAGAACTTAGTATGGTATTTTTTTCAAGTACCTTAATTAATTCATTTGGATTTAAATTTGTTAGTAAGATCCCAGCTTGAAGCATTTTTTTTATCTTCATCATTATACAAGCTGTTATTAAGAATTTCTTGATGATATATTAATGCATTGAGAAACTTTGATTTAGAGAAACTTTGATTTATCATACTAGGTTTAGATGAATTTGAATTTATATATTTTAACTTAACTAATCCAGAGGTGATAATCCTTTTTTTTTTAGAAAAGTGAACTATTTTATCTTAATTATACTTTATTTATCTCTTTTGAAGAAAATAATCTATATCCTTGTTAAAGGTTTTTTTTTGAATAATAAAAACATCTCTTAAACCATTGTATGAAATAGAGACCTTTATAATACCATATGGTATTATTTTAATAATATATTTACTTATAAATAATTTTTTATTGTATTTAATTGAGGCAATATTTTAATTATTATTATTTAATCCAAATTTTGCTATTTTTCTAATTTAATTTAATTTAAATTTGATACAAATTTAAATTAGAATTCAATATGAAAGAAAATTAAATTGTATACAATACAGATAGATTTTTAATTGAGAAGTTATTAAACTAATATTACAGAAAGAATTAA